TAAAGTCATAAAATATTGGATAAAACATACCTCTATCAATCCTAATACAGTAGCAGGTAAACAGTGAATTGACTGAGTTTCTCTACAACAGTAGGTGAACAGATGCTCTGCAACAATGGACTTTTTGTGTGTCAGTGTTTATGTAAATGAACTTGTTGCAGGCTCAAAGAAATATTAGGACACGCTCACTTCACTTTTGAACGTTGTTCTCGCGTAATGTGAAACTGAGGAGGCGGTCTCACTGGTCTCCTTTGTTTCCAGTTGAAGATGGTAAATCTGTGGAAGGCAATTGGCTCTTACATTGTTATTGAACGATATCAGATCAGATATACCTGAACCTTAAGTTAAACTTCTTGGCTTCAAATTACCTTGTTTTGACTTTGTCAATCCGAACAGAAATTTCGATTCATATGCACTAAGAAACAGACCCGCAGGAAGGGGAGCACAATTGGCGCGCCATACATGGCGTTTCTAGTTTGACTTGATAGGTGTCCAATGTGCAGTATGTTTTAGCTGTTAAGTTAGATTTGAATTTAGGATCAGTTATAAGAAAGGACAAGTTTTGCATTTTTATGGCGCCACTGCATGGAAATGGGTTTGAAAGAAAAATGTCCTCCAGTTTTACTTAACATTTCTTAAATGATGTTTGTAAGTGAATCTTTTCTTTTTTTTGAAAAAGAAGTGGCCTTCATGTTGAACATATGTCGACTTCATGACGCCCCGAAGGACCAACCGAGTACTGCAATCCAAACCATATGTAGCAGCAGCTTCGTCTGCAGCACAGACAGTTTCTATTTTGTTCTTTCAACATTAACGTCGCTACATAAGTGCAATAATCTTGGACGCGACGTTAAACCCAATTTCACCTCACCTCACCTTTCAACATTAGTATGGTACATGCTACCGTGCTACCCAGAAATGGTTTTCTATCATGTCAAATAAAGCTGAGAATTTGGCTTTGTAAAAGTCTCTTGATAAGGTAACGTGAAAGTTCCAGACATGTGATGAAGCCGGTCGGGAAAAACAATCCAAAATCAGAAAAGTCATAATACGCACCACAAAACTAGCCCAAGCCCAAACCAGCCCAGCCCCACCAATCCAAGGTTTTACCGTAGTCTGTTTGAGGCAAATTGAAGTTTATCACTAAACCTAAAAACTTGTCTAGTGGCTAATTGGAGCTCTCTTGATGACACGACGTGCACTGTTTCTTGTCTAACGCCTCGACTGGCATTATTCCAGCTATATAACATCGGACGTCCATTATTTGATGTGCTCATACACAGTCGTCCTGGGTAGACATGCTTATGTCCGATGCAATTACTTCAACTTTTGATGTTCAGATGTTTTTTTCAGGCGAACAGTTGACAATTGACTTGTCTTTGTCAGGTGTTTGTGACGATTACCGCTGGTGGGTCGGGATACGCTCACCTTTTCACGAACACCTGGTATCATCACTATTCGATAGAGATCCATAAACACATGCTTATGATACAGAAGGAATTATCCTATCGATTCTGCTTTCAACAAAGATGTCTCATGATTATGGAAATAACTGTGACGCTTTACCCACACAACAAAGCAGTTGGTGTTATTGATCCTTGGCATTTGCTAATTGTAATACTTTAACTTATACCTGGTAATGAGATAAATCGGCTTTGTTTGAGTATAGACTATTTTGTGACAAGGGTCCTATACATGTTGGTTGTGGTACCTAAACTGTTTATACTGCCGGGCAAAAGAAAGTATTCACTCATGTTTGATCATGGCAAAAACATAACAAGAACGAGAAATGGCTATTCGATGGTGATGTGTTTGATACGGATATCATAGTCGTGTTTTGGGCCTTAGGTTAGCAGGATTTCGGCGACGGCTTTGATAACGTTACTTTGTAATGTGTTGGCCAAATCCAGTGTTTAAGTTGTACTTTCTTTTGGCTTGCTGTTTATGTTTAGGCTTCAATGAAAAAATATCTCTGTAACAATAGGATATATATTTACAACAAACTATAACATCCAAGTTCGCATTACATTCATTACATAGGTAATAAGGCGTTTGTATACTCACTTAGGCTAAAACATGTATGAACAAATAGGTGTCCACATTAAGGAATTTACTGTTCATGTGTCGATATGCCGATTTGAAAAGCGATTAATAATGAAGAGTGACTTGTATTCAATAAAACAAAAGTTGTATTTTATGCTTCGCCAACACAAGCATCTGCATGTTACGTTTTCCCTCTAATTACGCTTGTATCAATATGTCTTTGCATAATTTTCAAGTAAACATTGTTCGTAGGCCTAACGGAATGTGTACAAAGTGTTGCAGTGGTTATATCGAGGACGAATTTCATGTTTTATTGATTTGTGATCGTTACCGATATCTTCCTGAATTCTGTAGTTAGTATAAAGATAAGCAATTGATCATACATCTTCTCAGTGTACTATATGGGTCATATGGCCTGAAATACTGAATACAATATAATAGTGTGGATATGTATCAATTCAATTCAATGGTTTATTATACAAAGACAATCGGTCAATATACAATTATCTGAATTAACATGCCAACAAATGACAGTTGACCTTGAAGTTTAAAATATTTGCAGCGGCCGATTAGAGGCAAGGGCAGAGTACAAGCATAAAGTCATCAGCATGGCCATTTCGTGTCACCCATAAGTGTAATCTCTGACGGACAAAGTAATAACAGGCGGACTTAGTAATGTACAATGGATGTGTGTAGTGTGGATCTCAAAACACCCCTGTAATCGGCCCCGTGTGGGAAGAGGGACAGATTGCCAGTCTCCTTGACCTTAGAAACAAATCGTCCAAAGATCAGACATGATTAAGTTGCGTACATTTCGTGTTTCGCAACTTTTATTGCGAAATATGCACTGAATCGCTAAATATTGAAATCACTATAGATAGATAAAAGGAATTTGAAAACACTAGAGTGTACATATGAGTAATTTGGAAAATACAATGGTATTAATTCCAAATACTTTAGACATATTATTGAAAAAAGGGCATTCTTCCTCTATATCAGTTTCACAAAACGAACAGGGGGCACGGGTGGCCCAGTCGTCTAAGGCGCCGCGAATCGGTGTGCAGAGTTGTGTCCCTTGGGCACGCCAGAAACCTATGATCGTGGGTTCGAATCCCGGTTCGCCCCGATAATATTTCTAGGTTTGTCAGCACCATACCCGTGCTCGTGGGTTTCACTGAAGTTGTAAACGTCTGAGACTGCATCACTTCGGGCTTTCCTCCCACATTAAGCTGACACGCCGCGATATAACTTGAATACTTAAAAAAAGCGGCGTGAAACCCAACTCAATCACTCACAAAACGAACACAAACACTGTTCTAGCTGTAATTTGGGTTTAACCCATCTCTTCTTTTCGATTATAAACTGTTCCTTTAACGTGCTTGAACTACGCGGTACTTTTACATCAATACTGTTAAGATGCATGGCAGAATATAAGGGATCCTTCATACCAAGATGAAGTCTGGTTTCATGGCGTAGGTAAGGCTGGATAAAAAACATTTCTGCACATTTGTGTGTATGTATCATGATTCCGCTGCTTAGATTCAGGCAAACATCAAGTTTCATTTACTATTACTTGATCCCGCCAAACATACCCGAAACCAAATTGGTTTAATATATTTTTAACCAAAACGGACCAACTTGCTAAAGGATGCCTTAACATCATTTCTAAAAGAGCTTTATGAATGATACTATTATATGTAAATTTGCAGACTTGAAGATAATGTGATTTTAAATTAATTGTACTGGTTCAGACCCAAGGCACAAACACCTACTCCTGTACCTGTACTTATTACTGGCAATGCGCACGTGTTTTTGAGAAAAGGCGAAAAATGTCAAAATCACGATATGTCATTGCTGGAAGAAATGCACGTGCCACAGGGGTATAAAAACTGCACAGTAGCAATGTCAAACATCCACATAGTAAACAAAACACATTTGAAATGCCAAGACTAATATCAGAACAACCGTGAGCGAGCAATTGGGATGTTTCAGATGGGGGCCACGCGCACCTACGTTGCAAGAACTTTTGGCAATTTAAACGTTATGCAGCGTTTCAGACAGACTGGAAGGACATCGGACAGGCCCGGACAGGGAGACCAGGGGTCACTACGCCACAGGAAGACGGCATCTGCGAACGTTGCACCCAGCCGCTTCCTCACAGTGACGTCATCGGCAGGAATGCTTTTGGTCGGCGGATGAGTATACACACAGTGACCAGAAGACTTGGGGCAGCAGGTATCAGGGCCTACCGACCGTTCAGAGGACGGATGTTGACTGCTGAACATCGACGCAGACGAATACGATTGGCAAATACAGTACTGCGACGGTGGCAGCGTCGTGATTGGCAACGCGTGGTCTTTACGGACGTAACAAGATTCTGTCAATGGCAGACAGTGTGTTTACCGTCGCAGAGGTGAAGAGACATCTGCTTGCCGCCTTCAAGAAGTCGTTCCTTACGGTGGCGTTAGAAAGGCGAGTTGAAGTCCGACCACACCCTCTCGCCAACAGACAAGAGTTGATACCAGCTCTAAAACAGTGGGAAGACGTGTGTTTCCTTGACCTCAAATGGTACAAAGGAGAGATATGTATAAAATAAATACACGTCCTCTTGCGCAACTCATATTGCGAAATATCCACTAAATTCTAATCTTGAATAGGGTCCGTTCGATCGAACCAACCCTATTGTATGTTTGTGATGATGAACCGAAAACTGTTGGCTCTAATGTTTAACGTGCATCCATCTAAATTGCAGACTGTTGTCAGCAATGCCTGTCTACCATTTGTTTCAAACTTGTTTCACTTATCATACAGTTCGGTGTCCTCAACTAACGCCTAAGCGCAATCTATTATCAACGCAATCTGTGATCAAATAGAACAATGTCCCCGATTTAACCAAGTTAATATACAAACACTCGCAGAAACGTATCTAATGACTATAAAACTAGCGGTCGGTATATTCCATTTCATTCCACGTTTGATGTCAATGATGCTGCTTCTCTTGGTCTCTTTGTCCTGTCTGGCGGCCATCAATGCTCAGCCCACACCTTGCTGTATTGCCAATCAATGGTCAGCCACTATGTTCGACGTTAGCCAGCCCTCCCAAGGAAATAGTGTAAGTTACACAACACTTGCATGTGTATCTTTAGGTGTTTGTAATAGTAATAGTTGTAATTATATCTATTATTCTGTACCTCCTTTGAACGTAAATATTCAAATACTTTGCCTCAAATACAAATGTACCCTGCTGCCATCCCATAGTAAAGGCATTGGAATCTTGCTGTGACCTTTCTAAGGATATTCTACATGTGTGATATGCACGATGTGAACATCTCTGCAGTCTAAGGATGTGCAATGAAGTTATATGTTGGTTAAAACACGACCACCTCTGTACGACTACTGCCTTCTTAGGTGTGATTTTGGAGTTATTTTAACTTTTAGGAAGGGAGCAAGGACAAAAGAGGATCAACAACCTAAATATGATCAGGCATCTGTTGGTATACTTCCACTTAAATTTAAATGTGTTGTTATATGTGTGACGTGTACGAGGTACGAGTATCAATATAGTTCACTTCAGGACACGGAGCTGGAATGGTAATTATTAGATAACATAATTTATAAAAACATTCTATAATGGTAACACCAGAACTTATTAATTTGTTATTCAGTCTATATTAATTTGTGTTGTTGTGTTGTTGTTATCAGCTGGAAAAGTAAACCCTGGAAAGTACTCACATGGTCTGTGAAATCTACTCTCTTACATACCTTATGAAAAGGGTTTTGTTGCTTTTATTTAGATAACGGCTGAGTTCTACTATGACTTCAACAACGAAGCTACTGCCACCCAGTACTATAAGTACGGATCACCTCAACGTGTGAAGTCAAACAGAGTTGTCATATCGTCCTCCAAGGTAACATTATTCATTTGTACATCGCAAATTTATCATAGAGTAATCCATGTAATTTTGTAGTATGATGTATCGTTCTCCCTGTTACCTACAGTTCAATGAGGTATGGTTTAGTCTGTTACCCACAGTTCATTGAGGTATGGTTCTCCATGTTACCTACAGTTCAATGAGGTATGGTTCTCCATGTTACCTACAGTTCAATGAGGTATGGTTCTCCATGTTACCTACACTTCAATAAGGTATGGTTCTCCATGTTACCTAAAGTTCAATGAGGTATGGTTCTCCATGTTGCCTACAGTTCAGTGAGGTATAGTTCTCCATGTTACCTACAGTTTAATGAGGTAAGGTTCAGTCTGTTACCTACATTTCACTGAGGTATGGTTCAGCCTGATACCTACAGTTCATTGAGGTGTGGTTCTGTCTGTTACCCACAGTTGTTTGAGGTATTGCTCAGTTTTATACCCACAGTTTATTAAGGTATGGTTCAGTCTAATACCCAGTTTATTGAGGTATTGTTCAACCTGTTACCCCCAGCTCCTTGAGGTATGGCTCAGTCTGTTACCTACAGTTGTTTGAGTTATGGCCAAGTCTGTTACCTAAAGTTGTTTGAGGTATGGTTCAGTCTGTTACCCAGTTTATTGAGGTATGGTTCAGTCTGTTACCCACTGGTCATTGAGGTATGGCTCACTCTGTTACCTACAGTTGTTTGAGTTATGGCTGTCTGTTACCCACAGTTCATTGAGGTATGGTGCAGTCTGTTACCCACAGTTCATTGAGGTATGGCTCAGTCTGTTACCTACAGTTCATTGAGGTATGGTGCAGTCTGTTACCTTCAGTTGTTTGAGTTATGGCTCAGTCTGTTACCTACAGTTGTTTGAGTTATGGCTCAGTCTGTTACCCACAGTTGTTTGAGTTATGGCTCAGTCTGTTACCCACAGTTGTTTGAGTTATGGCTCAGTCTGTTACCTACAGTTGTTTGAGTTATGGCTCAGTCTGTTACCTACAGTTGTTTGAGTTATGGCTCAGTCTGTTACCTTCAGTTGTTTGAGTTATGGCTCAGTCTGTTACCCACAGTTCATTGTGTTATGGCTCAGTCTGTTACCCACAGGTGTTTGAGTTATGGCTCAGTCTGTTACCCACAGGTCATTGAGGTATGGCTCAATCTGTTACCCACTGTTCATTGAGGCGTGGTTCGGTCTGTTACTCACAGTTGTTTGAGGTATGGCTCAGTCTGTTACCTACAGTTGTTTGAGGTATGGTACAGTCTGTTACCTTCAGTTGTTTGAGTTATGGCTCAGTCTGTTACCTACAGTTGTTTGAGTTATGGCTCAGTCTGTTACCTTCAGTTGTTTGAGGTATGGCTCAGTCTGTTACCTACAGTTGTTTGAGGTATGGCTCAGTCTGTTACCTACAGTTGTTTGAGGTATGGCTCAGTCTGTTACCTACAGTTGTTTGAGGTATGGTTCAGTCTGTTACCTACAGTTGTTTGAGTTATGGCTCAGTCTATTACCTTCAGTTGTTTGAGTTATGGCTCAGTCTGTTACCCACAGTTCATTGTGTTATGGCTCAGTCTGTTACCCACAGTTGTTTGAGTTATGGCTCAGTCTGTTACCCACAGGTCATTGAGGTATGGCTCAATCTGTTACCCACTGTTCATTGAGGCGTGGTTCGGTCTGTTACCTACAGTTGTTTGAGTTATGGCTCAGTCTGTTATCTTCAGTTGTTTAAGGTATGGCTCAGTCTGTTACCTACAGTTGTTTGAGGTATGGCTCAGCCTGTTACCTACAGTTGTTTGAGGTATGGTTCAGTCTGTTACCTACAGTTGTTTGAGTTATGGCTCAGTCTGTTACCTTCAGTTGTTTGAGTTATGGCTCAGTCTGTTACCCACAGTTCATTGTGTTATGGCTCAGTCTGTTACCCACAGGTGTTTGAGTTATGGCTCAGTCTGTTACCCACAGGTCATTGAGGTATGGCTCAATCTGTTACCCACTGTTCATTGAGGCGTGGTTCGGTCTGTTACTCACAGTTGTTTGAGGTATGGCTCAGTCTGTTACCTACAGTTGTTTGAGGTATGGTACAGTCTGTTACCTTCAGTTGTTTGAGTTATGGCTCAGTCTGTTACCTACAGTTGTTTGAGTTATGGCTCAGTCTGTTACCTTCAGTTGTTTGAGGTATGGCTCAGTCTGTTACCTACAGTTGTTTGAGGTATGGCTCAGTCTGTTACCTACAGTTGTTTGAGGTATGGCTCAGTCTGTTACCTACAGTTGTTTGAGGTATGGTTCAGTCTGTTACCTACAGTTGTTTGAGTTATGGCTCAGTCTATTACCTTCAGTTGTTTGAGTTATGGCTCAGTCTGTTACCCACAGTTCATTGTGTTATGGCTCAGTCTGTTACCCACAGTTGTTTGAGTTATGGCTCAGTCTGTTACCCACAGGTCATTGAGGTATGGCTCAATCTGTTACCCACTGTTCATTGAGGCGTGGTTCGGTCTGTTACCTACAGTTGTTTGAGTTATGGCTCAGTCTGTTACCTTCAGTTGTTTAAGGTATGGCTCAGTCTGTTACCTACAGTTGTTTGAGGTATGGCTCAGCCTGTTACCTACAGTTGTTTGAGGTATGGTTCAGTCTGTTACCTACAGTTGTTTGAGTTATGGCTCAGCCTGTTACCTACAGTTGTTTGAGTTATGGCTCAGTCTATTACCTTCAGTTGTTTGAGTTATGGCTCAGTCTGTTACCTACAGTTGTTTGAGGTATGGCTCAGTCTGTTATCTACAGTTGTTTGAGGTATGGCTCAGTCTGTTACCTACAGTTGTTTGAGGTATGGCTCAATATTGTTCATACAGTTAACTGTGATAGGGACCAAGTTATTTACCTACAGTTCATTGAGATAGGTGCCAACCTATGTGCCTACTGTTCATCGAGTACTTGCATGTACAGTTTACTGAGATAGGGACTAACCTATGTACCTACAGGTAATTGAGATAGGGATCATGTGTACCTACAATCCTATGTGGCGAGAAGATGTGAAATGGGATTTAACGTCGCGTCCAAATGTTTGCACTTATATAGCGACGTGCATGCACGTGTGTGTGTGTGTGTGTTTGTGGCTGCTTGTACTTGTTCGGACTTAAAGCCGATTTTATAGTTCTAGCCCACTGAGATACCATGCAGCAGCTTAACATGAATACCCAACTCAGACACGGTATAGTGACACCGAGCCGACCAGCCCCTTCATCCGGAGTGTCAGGCAGGGTAACAACAAATACCATCTTTTACGCGGCCTATTTCAAGGACATCTTGGTGTAGTCCAAAACGCTGCATCATTGCATGTACCCTTTTCTAAGATACAGTGAGATACATCCCAGTAAATGTGATTTTGACTTTGTAGAGAGAACGCTACAACATCGCCGCTGACGGCACATGCACCAAGGTTGCCCACCCTAACCAGTTACTGCCAAACTGCATCATAGGTAGGTACCTTCTGCACTGTCACATTTGCCCTATGTTCATCACGTTTATATAGATGCTTATCCATTGTTTTTTTTATTATTGTTCTATTTCGTTGTCGTCTTGATGTTACTATTTATCTGAAGCAGGGCACAAGATATTTGACGGTTATTTGATCTTTAAAATTTCAATATCTAAATTTGCCTACAGTCAGGGTTGGAAACCTCTCTATGTCCATCTTGATAATGTTCGGTTGTAATTGGTTTCACATTTCGATTTGATGTAATGGCAGATATCTCTATGTTGTGCGTGTTGTTGTTGAACAGTATTAACGGAGGTTCTTGATATTTAACAGGATCTGTTAACTTTAATCAGTTTTTACTTAATAACTATTTAATAGAAATACATAATTCTTTTGGCCTATGTTTTAATTTGGTATTTTAAACAAAATCTGCATGACAAGGAAGAACGGTGTGGTAGTCTAGTCGATTTCCTACATTGGCACAGAGTGTGAAGCCCGTTTAGGGTGTCCGCCACCCTGATATTACTGGAATATTGCTAAAAGCGGCATAAAACCATACTAAAGCACTACATTGACTCCTTCACTTCTGTCGAAACATTCCAGCGCTCTGGTGCTCGTGGTACTCTTCCCTCCAAGCCTGTATAAACATAGTCTAATAGGACCCTATGATTCATTATCAATATTAGAGGAATATTTATAAAATTGAATGTTGGCAATGACACAACACATATCATACAAGGGCCCGGGTTTGCTGTGGGGAAAAACATCGTTATTTCCCTTAGTTGTCAGGATCCGCTGGTAAGGATTCAAATCCAACATTCACCCCAATTAACATCCTTCGTCTGTTTACACCATACTCGTCATGGTAGACTTCCACGAAATTGTAAACCTCGACGTGTTGCGATACAATGGTAGTTGCTCTCACGTTATCTGGCACACATAACTGAAATAGTGTTACAAGTGGCCTAAAACCCAAACCCAAGCTCATATGTGTACAGTAATATAAGTGGTCTCCTGCCATGTAGGCGAGAGAACATACCTTGGCTCCAGCTATGTCGGCACCGAGGCAAGCGGGCTGAAAACTGACACCTGGTTCTTTTCTATCGACACCCTCAACTACACCGTGAGCTATACAAATCCCGACTGCATCCTAACATTCCAGGGAGTCGTCGATACAACACAATCCCGTGAGTACACAGTGCGTTAGTAACATATAGATTAACTCAGCTGAGTAAGTTTTAGTGCGTGTTTTATTTTTCTATACATTATCGTAGCACCATAAAAGATATTTTTAAGGAAAAGAAAGTGTGTGAATGTGCGCCACTCGCTACTCTCATTGGTGTGTAACCAGTGATGGAGCATTTCCATTTGGATGGGTGTGAAACCAATGGTGGAGTATGTACATCTGGATTGGTATGAAACCAATGGTGGAGCATGTCCATCTGGATGAGTGTGAAAGCAATGGTGGAGCATGTTCATCCGGATCGGTGTGAAACCAAAAGTGGAGCATGTCCATCTGGATCGATGTGAAACCAATGGTGGAGCATGTCAATCTGGATAAGTGTGAAACCAAGTGTGGAGTATGTCCATCTGGATAGATGTGAAATCAAAAGTGGAGCATGTCCATCTGGATCGGTGTGAAACCAGTTGTGGAGCATGGCTATCTGGGTCGGTGTGAAACTAATGGTGGAGTTTGTACATCTGGATCATGGCCATCTGTGTGAAACTAGTTCTGGAGCATGTACATCTGTTTTTTCGATGTTTTAATTCTTGAGTTAATGTTATGTTTTGGTATAAAAATCAAGTGTATTATCACTATCATATATGATAATCACATTCATTGTTGTGTTTCAGTAGATACAGTGGTATACTTCAACGGATATAAAGCAGGCATCACGGATCCAGCTGCTTTTGCCGTCCCCCTCTCCTGCCTATAGCAATGCATCTGCAGTGGTCATAGTTTATATGTTATCCCTGTTGTTGTGTTTCATTTGTTTAATATTTACAAATGGTTTTTTATCAATACATATCTTTCAAAGTATTGTACTTGTATGTTCTCAATTGGTCGTGTAATATTATCAGACAGGTGAAAAGTTTACCTGTCAATAACACACAATATGAAGCTTGATGTTCTCCACAACAGTAGCAGGTGAACAGTGTGTTTGATGAGGATCTCCACAACAGTAGCAGGTGAAAAGTACATTTACTGAGGTACTCTGCAACAGCAGTAGGCGGACAGTGAATTGGCTGAGTTACTCTGCAACAGTAAGAGGTGAAAAGTGAATTGACTGAGATACTATATAACAGTAGCAGGTGAACAGTGTATTAGCTGAGATACTGTGCAACGGTAATAGGTGAACAGTGATTTGATTGAGGTACTCCACAACAGTAGCAGGTGAACAGTGAATTGACTGAGATACTCTGCAACAGTAGCAGGTGAACAGTGTATTGACTGAGGTACTCCACAACAGCAGCAAGTGAACAGTATATTGACTGAGGTTCTCCACAACAGTAGCAGGTAAACAATGTATTAACTGAGGTACGCTGCAACGGTAGCGGATGAACAGTGTATCTTGGTGCAATCTCAGAAAGATTACGACTTCCTTACGTCATTTGAAATATTACAAATAAACGCATGTACGATGTCTTCGTCTACAATTTCAGGCTTTAGGGCGCTGTTATTTATTTGATATCCCAAATTCAAAGGGATTATTTTTTGTATATTCAAATTGATTGTTAATAACGGATTGACCATCAATGGTCTCGATAGATGCAAAACAACAAAACAACAGAGACAACGTATAACCACCTAGATAATACATTAAACCTTCAAGTTTACTTTTACACAAGGCTATATACATAACATTACATACTGGTATCCCACATTTCTCAAACAAGTTCCCTAGCCTTTCAAGAAATTGCTTGGTATTCTGTCAAAAAAAGCTGAGAATTCTGCTTTGTTGAAAGTTCATCTCTATTAGATGTACATACAAGTACATTGTGTTAAGAGGTAACAGCAGCAAGAACAGTATTGAGGTATTGTGTACTATTATGTAATCACTTGAACTATTCAGAAATATTAAAACCCTTTCCTTTCCTAATTAGTCGTTAAATACAGGCATTATTCTGATGAAATGATTTCAACATTGGTGTTTTGCTCAACATGATAAAGTTTATATCTGTAAACTTCCCATTTTCCCGAATGGGGGACGGGGAATAGGCATTGAATTGACTAGCTAGAAATCAGCATTCAGTGAAAACATATTTTCATTTCTGCTAAAGGAACTGTTACACGAACTGTAAGTGTTTTAGTGTTGAATAACGCAAAAATCTCCTTTTATTTGTTTAAAGGAAATAATTAAAAATTACGTTACTGATATAAACATTAATTTTCCTTTGTGCCAATATTGATTAGTGAAAGGGGGCCTTGTTTGAATCTCCCCCAACACTCACCCTTTGATTAAACCATACAGTGAAATCAATTCAACTTTGTCAACATACACCACATGCATAGAAATGAAAGGGATACGATCAATTCCATAATTATACGCATCACTATGAAATAGTGATGATATAAGGTGTTCGCAAAAATATATGACACCCTTTACATCCACATGTAAAGGCACGTTAGTTGTTCGCCTCAATAAAAGACGAGAACATATTGTCAAAACAAGTAATAACATCGGACATCATCTAGGTCACTGATGCACCAAATTTGGAAATGTCCTCCACATGTCTACAATAAAACATTTTTAAAGCTTTGTAATGACCTTGAATGCTGTTACCCTTTAATTTTAAGCAATAGTCGTATGACGCACTTTCACAGAAAGAGTACGCTTGATTGTAGCTCAAAAGGTGTGAAATGGGGACACCTAAGGCTGAAGCTGCTCGAAAATTGCTTAACAGAAAGGGAAAATTGAATCAGTGACCAATTGACATCCGATTGAATTCCCTGTTGACTTGTACCATGTCTCCGTGTTTTTGTCATGTGAACAATGGACCTACCTGCATCCATGGTCACCACGTTTTGTGACAAGCACCATGGATCAAGGAATGAAGTTTTCCCTGAAGGTCGTCATGTGGGACAGCGGTGTACAAAGTTTCAAAATAAAATTTTCAGGGTGGGTGGGGTGGGTTGGGGGTATATAGTGTGATCTACCCTGCGTGTGAGCCTATGCTCCCCGACTTTCAGTCATACATGTCCGCAGTTTCACAGAGTTAGGCAAACTTTACATTAATTAGTCTTCATTGAAATATATATATCTAAAAATAAAATACACATTTAAGACAAACTGAACAGCCAAGATCGCATTACTTACGATATACAAGCCGGAACAACATGCGATAAGATAACTGTTGAACTAGCATTAAGAAGAGCAGTGTCAAGGACAGAGCATTAGCATAATGCCAGAATATTTTACCGATTCCATTACGAAATATACAACGCATTAATGTAGTGTGGCTCTTGGTCAGAGTACCCTAGCCAACTTATAAGTTCCTTTGACCTCATAAACAATATAGTCCAAAGTACAGATATGTATAAAATGTGCACGTCCTCTTGCGCAACTTTGACCCATATTGCATAATGTGCACTGAATGCTTATCTTGAAAAGGGTCCGTTCGATCGAACCAGTGCTACCGTGTGTTTCTGATGAGGAACTACTGTTGATTCTACCGTTCAACTTCTATCCACATACATCGCAAACGGTTGCTAGTAAGGTCTTTCTCTTAAAAATTTCAAGCTTGTTTCACTTATCTTACTGTTCGGCGTTCCCAAATTACGCTGAAACGCAATCGTTTAACTGTGATTAGATACAACGATGTTCCCGATTTTATCAAGTAAATATATAAACACTCACAGAAACGTAACCAGTGACTAAATATGACGATAAAACTAGCGGTCGGATCACTCCATTCATTCCTGTGTTTGATGTCCATGATGTTGCTACTCTTGGTCACACTGTCCAGTCTGGCGGCCATCAAGGCGGAGACCACACCTTGTTGTGTGGACTACAAATGGTCAGCCACTATGTTCGACGTTCGTCAGCCCTCTAAAGGAAACAGTGTAAGTTAAACCACATTATAAGTTGTCAACCGGTCTCGGGGGGTATATGGTGTGATGTATCATGTGTATGAGCCTATGTTTCCCGTGACGTGAGGCGATGGGTACATAGGTTTACACACAGGGTATATCACACCATATGCCCCGAAAGATCGCTTGGCAACGAATTCATCTCACCGACTTTCCTTCATACATGTCCGCAGCTTCACCGAATTAAAAAACTCGTAGGAGACAAAACGAAACGAGTTACTTCCCTTTACCGAATGCATTCGGATAAACATCGGTTTATGTCAACTCAAGGATACTTATTCGACATATGCACATTACCTTGGATGTGTTCCGTGTGAACCTATGTACCCATCGACTCACGTCTCGGGGAACATAGGCTCCATGAAAAATAAAAGCCCGCTCTTTAATAACCAAACAGAAGCTGGTATTATATTGTAAGGTGAGACAATAGAATGTGTACCTTTGTAATAGCTCAATGATATTTATCATTATGTATCTCCCTTAAACGTAAATATCCACATACATTGACTCAAATACAAATGTCTTTCTGTGATTATAAACATGTATAAGGGTATTATTATACATGTGTTTTACATTGTGTGAACTTCACCATGTAGTCTAAGGATATGCGCAATGAAGTTTTATTCCATACTGAAAGGCCTCAGGGCCGTAGTACAATTCTGTTTTCGGGAATGGGTGTAGATCCGTTTAACAGGTCATATTCTAATTAACATAGCATGATAAATGAACATTGATAGCTTTTAAGAGTATCTTTATCAGTTATTGGCCTGATCGATTTTTTGTTGATAGGCATGTACATTAAAACGCAGTTCTAAATAATTACTCCTTAGATGGTCGTATTTTGGACAGACTAACAGGAAATGACATTCATCTTTAGGCACATTTAAATCGTATTCCTCATATATTCTCAATTCTTTAGGTACGTTTCTATGTCTGCCTACTTGGACTCTAAGTCTATGAGAGTTGCATCTAAACTGTGCTAAAGCTACTCTAAATCTTTTAAAATTGATATCAAACAAATAGTATTCTGGGGAAATATTTGTCTTAAAAATGAATGTTATATACTGCTTGAAACAGGATCTCCTCCTGTACCGCTGGTGTCTTCTCGGGTGCGTTGCAAATGTGGCTTGGCATCTGTTTTCCCGCTTCCGTTAAATGTGTGTTATATGTGTGACGTATACGAGATACGAGCGTCAATATAAATCCCTTGAGTACACAAAATTTGAATGATAATTATAACATATAATGGCTTTATAAAACTATTCAATAATGATAACAAAAGAATTCATAAAGTAGTACTTTAATCTCCTGTACTGAAACTCTGACAGTACTATCACATCAAACCAAACCCACTTTAAGACATTTGGAAGTTATCCACCGGAAATGTACACACTGGAAAGTATTCGTTCCCACGTTTGATCACATGGCCTGTAAAATCTCCCCCTTTACATATTTTATGGAAAGTTTCTGTTGGTTTTATTTAGATAACGGCTGACTTCTACTATGACTTCAACAACGTAGCCACTGCCACCCAGTAATATAAGGACGGATCACCTCAACGTGTGAAGTCAAACAGAGTTGTCATATCGTACGCCAAGGTAGCTCCATGCATTTGTACATCGGGAATTCGTCACAAAAAAGTGAATTCTCCAGTACAGACCGAACAATATGGCCATTTTACAGTTTTCGTATGCCGTGTCTTCTGTACGGTTATACTTTCCCAATTTCCCTAGCTGTTTAACATAGAAATCCATACTAATGTGGTATGGTACAACCTGGTACCTACGGTGCATTGAGGTATGGTACACCTTGTTACCCGAGTTCATTGAGGTGTGGTTCACCCTGGTACCTCCAGTTCATTGAGGTATGGTTCACCTGTAACCTACAGTCATCATATCCCAATTGCGGAGATCGATGCTAATGATTTCAATCACTGGATTGTCTTGTCCAGCATCGATTATGTACAGACTGACACCATATAGCTGGAATATTACTCAGTGCGGCGTTAAGCCAGAAAGAAATACACCTACAGTTCATTGAAGTATGGATCACCCTGTTATCTACAGTTCATTGTGACCCGTGAAGACCCATTCTTGCCGTAAAAGGCGACTATGCTTGTCGTAAGAGGCGACAAACGGGATCGGGTGGTCAGGCTCACTGACTTGGTGGATGCGTCATCGTATCCCAATTGCGTGGATTGATGTCAATCACTGGATTGTTTTGTCCAGGCTCGATTATTTACAGACCGCCGCCAAATAGCTCGAATATTGCTGAGTGCGGCGTTAAACAACAAATAAACAAACAAGCAAACAGACAACACAGTTCATTGAGGTATGGTTCAATCTGATATCTACAGTTCACAGAGATATAGTTCATCCTGTTATAGTTCATTGACGTATAGGCTAGTCAAGTATAAGATAGATATAGTTAACCCTGTTACAGACCATTAAGGTATGGTTAAATATGGTACCTACAGTTCACTGAGATATGTATCGTCCTGTTACAGTCCATTGAGGTATGGTTAAATATGGTACCCACAGTTCACTGAGAAATGGATTATCCTGTTACAGTCCATTGAGGTATGGTTAAATATGGTACCTAGAGTTCACTGAGATAGTGATCAACATGTGAACCCTCAGTTCATTGAAATGTGGTTCAGTCGGGTACCGAACATTCATGTCAGGTTCAGTGAGGATCCGACATTGTGGTGTGACCGAAACATGTACCAACAGGTCATAGACAGGCCACCCAATCATGTACCTACAGTTCATCGTGGTATCACTTTCTCTGGTGCATACAGATTATTAAGGTATGCTTGTATGTATTTTATCTTAGTGTAGTCCAAACATTGTATGTGACATTGTCTAAGGTTTAGTGAGATACATCCCAGTAAATGTGATTTTGACTTTGAAGAAAACACGCTACGACATCAACGCTGACGGCACATGCACCAAGGTTGCCATCACTGACATGTTACTGCCAAACTGCATCGTAGGTAGGTGCCTACGTCACGGCCATAACTGTCATATGTAATGACGTTTATATAGGTGCTTATCCATTGTTATCTACTGATATTCTCTGGCGTTGCCGTTTTGGCTTTACTATTTGATAATTAGTATGTGATTCATCTGTAGTGGGACACAAGACACTAGAATTTTGAATTTGTAACTTTACCTCAGCTCTCACCTAATAAGTATTTCTAATTAGACATAAATAAGTATTTTATTTGATATTGTTTAATTAAAAAAGATTTTATTTGATATTGTTCAAACAAAATTTGCATAACAAGGTAGAACTTGTACAGCGCGGTTGGGTAGCCTAGTGATTAAAGCGGTCGATTCGCCACATGGGTACAATGTGTGACGCCCATTCCTGGTGTCCCCCTACCTGACATTACTGAAATTTTGCTCAAAGAGGCGTAAAACCATACTCCATACAATGCACGTTTCAAAAGTGTCCAGTGCCTTGTGCTGGTGATACTCTTCCTTCAACAGTGCTAAATTAAAGGTGGTGTAAAGATAGTTTAAAAGGGTCCTATTATTTATCATTAGATGATTATTTATAAGATACAATACTGTCAATGATACAACACATATAATACAAGGGCATTGTGGCTCGGTGAAATATGTGAAGTTATTGCCCTTTGTTGTCGAGATCCACGCAGTATTCGGAAGGATATTACTGTACTTACTCAAGAACAGTATATTTAGGATGTCGAGGCGCTAGCAGATAAGGTGAAATTGGGTTTAACGTCGCGTCCAAGATTATTGCACTTTTATAGCGACGTGCATGCACATGGGTGTGTGGCTGTTTGTACTAGACCGGCCTGATGCCGATTTATAGTGCTAGTACACTGAGATACAATGCAGCACTTGTGTTTGCCTATTGAGACATGGTTTTACTTGTATCATGATTACGCAGACATTAGCAAAGACAAAGATAGTGGAGATGAACTGGAAGGTGTATTATATGATATATATTATATGTATGATGCTGGAGTAATTCTAACAGGTTTAATTGTAGAAATTGAGAAGATGTCGACTTTATTATTGATGATAGTGTCAAAAATATTTGAAATGAATTTGGTGATGATGAGATTACAAAACCCGGAAACAATACAGCTAAAGAAACAAATAACTTTGGAAGACGTTTATTACAAATAATTTTCTTTACATGTATTAAATGGCAGATTTCAGGAAGACGTAAACGGTATCGTTACTTGTTTTGCAAGTAATGGTATAAGTGCAGTCGATTACATGGTTGCTTCGTCATACAGACTGTTTAAAAAATGTTTCACTGTTCTGTCATGAATGATTCTGACCACTTCTGCCTTTCGTGTAATGTTTAGATAGATATTCCAAAATTTCAAAATGATTCATTTGTTTGTATTCCCTTTTTATAAATATTTATGAAAAAAACAAACAGGAAACCACCATTCCGTAACACTTATTGAAGATATACGTTCACAAATAGAGGAAGATGTTAATAAAGATGTTGAAGTTTGAACAAATTCTACAAGTATCAAAGAGCTGCTGCATGTGTGAGGCGAAACTGTAGGCCTCGTGACTGCTCATCAAAGCGCAACAAACTCTCAGCTATCAATGCCTTTAGACAATCAAGTACTGATAAAGATTTGTTAAAAATATAAATATCTTAAACAAAAATTTAAAAAGGTTTGTGAAATTAAGAAGGAAAACCATAAAATGGTTATTGAGAGAAAAGTTCAATAAAATTAAAGAACTCCAAGAAAGTCTATTTCGCAAGTTTGGAGACGTACGAGAGTAACTAGCAATATATCTGCGCATAAAAGGTAAACTTGTTTTCAAGAACTTCTAAATCATGTCGATGAATACAGAAATATATCACTATGACAAATTCCTGTGTAATGATTACACTCAAAGTAATCCAATGGTTTTAAATAGTAACATCACTAAAAACGAAATCCCGACAACTATTCTTAACATGAAAAGTTGAAATTCGGCTGGTTTTGATGGACTACCAATTGAATTTTTTAAACTTTAGATTGACTATATCGTACCAATCTGTCAAAAACTATTCAATAGTTTTCTGGACTATGGTGTATACTCCTAATTCTAGTGTAAAGCTGTTATCTCTCCTATACATAAGAAAGGCTCAACCACAAATGTAGCTAACTATCGTGGTATAGCATTTCGTCCTGTATTCTGAACGAAAGACTTCATACATTCATAAATGAATGATATATTATTTTTTAAAAATCAGTTTGGTTTCCGTAAAGGCTGTTCAACATTAGATCCTATGTTTACCCTTCATGGCAAGATTTGTATATATTTAACAAAATCTAAAGGTAAATTGTATTGCTTTTTCAATGAGTTTAGTTAGGCGTTTGGTTGTGTAAATATAAATTGTAATTCAAGAGAATAACTAGTCTAGATTATATATTCGTTTGTTAAATTATATTTCATTGCAAGGTTTTAACTGTCGTGATATGTATTCTAAACTAAAATCAAGTGTCAAAACTGAAAAAGGAGTAACAGATTTCTTAGAGTGTTGTATCGGCACACGCAAAGGTTGCATGATAAGTCCAAACGTGTTTCTATTATTTATTAATGAATTTGTTTCCGAGTAAACAGACTGTAGAGGCATATGTATTTCAAATGATGCACCAAATATCTGCACAACGTTGTTAACTCCTTTGATAGTATTTGGCGCCTACACGAATCAATTGATTATATTGACACATTTTGTGATAAATGGGGAATGACACTAAATTCAAATAAGTAAACAAAAAATTTTTTAGACACAGTGGTTACTTAAAAAGTCATGAAGCATGGTTTAATAGAGGCAATCAAATAGAAACCATTTCATTTTATAAGTATCTTGGTAATATTTTTTCACAAAAAATTATTTTTTGACTCGCGCAGTTACTATTCTTTCACAACAAGCTGATAGAGTACGGCAACATATTTATAAACTAAACACTTTATGTGATAGTTTGTCTTTGGAATGCGCAGAAAAATGTTTGACAGCATGTTTTTTCTGGTATCAACAGGTTTGGAGATATTATAGCTATGATGTAATAGAAAGGGTTCAAACAAAACATTTCAAGTGAATACTGACTTTACGAAATTCAGGGAGTAACAGTGATGTCCTTGGAGAATGTGGAAGACAAAAGATATATACATATCATGCTACTAAAGTAATAAAATATTGGATAAAACATACCTCTATGAATCCTTATACATTGTCATGTTTTTATTTGGACATGGTTTTGGTTATGCATGGAATATTCAAGACTGTGTGGGTTGTGAAATATATATTAGACAAGTTAAAGCAACGTATTAACGATTGCGGCCAACTCAACTGACACGATAGTTTAACACAAAACTCGAAACTGACAGCGTAATTTCATTACGAACGGAAACTTCTCTTACTTGTGCTGAAAATAATACGTTTTAAAATTTCGCTGCAGCAACCACAATCTATTGTATTGTGAACGTCATGCTTTTCACTATGTTGAAATTGAATACCACTTTTGTCTCGTGTGCACTGCCTACTCAGAAATTAGACGTCGCTATTTAACTCCGATTTATCACAACCATCCCTGTCTATAAAGTTCGTATCTATCATGTCTACAACAAATATCATATGTTTGTCAGACCTATAAAACATATCTATTTTGCTTTTAAACTTAGAATTTCAATAATTAATTTGATATACTTGAACTTCACCTTGTTCAAATTTAGACAGATTATTCCCACATTGTACATTTCATCAAATGCTTTGTACGATCGGCCAGAGGTATTTATATCTTGGAAATAAATATGCCATACACTGGTAAAAAGATCCGCTGGTGAGGATTCAAATCAAGCATTCATCCTGATTATCATCCTTGGTCTGTTTGCACCATACCCTTCATGGGCGATTTCCACGAAATGGTAAACCTCGATGTCCTGAAGTTACTTTGACTTTATCTGACATACATGGCTGAACTATTGTTAAAGGAGGCGTTAAACTCAAACCCACCAGCTCATATGTTACAGTTATATAAGTGCTCTGCCCCTATGTAGGTGAGCGTACATTCGTTGGATCCAGCTACGTCGGCACCCGACCAAACTGGCTGAAATCTGACACCTGGCGCTTTCCTCTCGGCTCCCTCAACTTCACCGTGAGCTATACAAATCCCGGCTGTGTCCTAACATTCCAGGTAGTCGTCGATACAGCACAATCCCGTGAGTACACAGTGCGTTAGTAACATATGGATAAACTCAGATGAGTAAGTGTTAGTGTGTGTTTTATTTTTCCTACGTGTACATAAGAACTTCTTAAGGGATCGATACATGATGAAGCGTGGGAATGTTCCGCTACTCGCTCTATCAACACTTTGGTCTGAAACCCATGGTGGAGCAGGCACACCTTGAATGTTGTTTTAATTTTACAATTAGTTTATGTTTTGGCATAGATCAAATGTATGACACTTGAAATAGATAATGACCACATTCATTGTTATGTTTCAGCTTCAGTAGCTACAGTGGTATACTTTAACGGACATAAAGTAGGCATCACGGATCCAGGTGCTTTCAGCGTACCCCTTTCCTGTCAGTAGCAAGGCAACTGCTGTGTGGACAGTTTATATGTTATCCCTGTTGTTGTCTGTTCACGTACGACTGTTCATCAATACACATCCTCCAAAGTATTGTATATGTATGTTGTCATTTTTTCTTGAACAGGCTCACACCCACTATTAAAGCCTTCATTTGGACGTGAATTATATTTTAGTTGTAACAAGTTTAGAAATTCTTTATGTCGAATTAGATGTGGGTGAAACGGGGCGTTATTGTAAAGAGCGGATTTGTATACAAGGAGACATGTTAAAACAAAGAACACAGCACAACAGCAACATCACATGCATCACAGGTAACCCAGGAAACTGGTTAAAACATGGAACGCAGCACAACATCACATGCATCACAGGTAACCCAGAAGAAAGGTTAAAACATGGAACGCAGCACAACAGCAACATCACATGCATCACAGGTAACCCAGGAGACACTTTAAAACTTGGAACGCAGCACAACAGCAACATCACATGCATCACAGGTAACCCAGGAGACACTTTAAAACATGGAACGCAGCACAACAGCAACATCACATGCATCACAGGTAACCCAGGAGACAGGTTAAAACATGGAACGCAGCACAACAGCAACATCACATGCATCACAGGTAACCCAGGGGACACTTTAAAACTTGGAACGCAACACAACAGCAACATCACATGCATCAAAGGTAACCCAGGAGACACTTTAAAACATGGAACGCAGCACAACAGCAACATCACATGCATCACAGGTAACCCAGGGGACACTTTAAAACTTGGAACGCAGCACAACAGCAACATCACATGCATCAAAGGTAACCCAGGAGACACTTTAAAACATGGAACGCAGCACAACAGCAACATCACATGTATCACAGGGAGCCCAGGAGACAGGTTAAAACATGGAACACGGCACAACAGCAACATCACATGCATCACAGGTCACAAGGTAGCCCAGGGGACAGGTCAAAACATGGAACACGGCACAAGTTGCAAAACGAGTTACAAAATCAGCTAAATATTAACCCTATGTACATCACAAAAATACAAGTAGCCATCATGATTATGTGAACAGTTATGTTACAGTTCAAGGAAGATGTATTCTTAATTCTTTCTTTGAAGGCCCTCTGATTAAGCCATCGTCATATTTAAGTAAATTATTAGATCACTTGTGTGAAGTATTTGTATCAGGAACTGTTTTGATATTCGTGCCGAGATCTCTGGCTTTGTTACAGTCTTTCAAATGCCAACAAAAATCATTGTGATCACCCGTGAAGATCCGGGTGATAATTGGTCTTCAGCAACCCAAGCTTGTCGTAAGTGGCGACTTACAGGATCTGGTGGTCAGGCTCGCTGACTTAGTTGATGCCTGTCATCGTATGGCATTTGCGTAGGTCCATCCTCATGATGTCCATCACTGGATTGTCAGGTCAAGACTCGATTAATTACTGGCATTTTGATGAATGAGGCGTTCAACAACAAACAAGCATTTTTACAATATATAAAACAAACAAGTTGTTGTCTTTTTTAGCCCAACATATGACAGCGCCACAAGGTTCGTGTTATTATTTAAAAGGAGAATAAGTTAAGAGGTTAGTATTGTTGTTGTTTTTTAGAAGCATCACAATCATATTACCTTTCATTTTCATAGCAGATGTATTAATCAAGTGAGTATGAAGTTGTAGCACCCGTAGTAGAATCACCCAGTTCAGTTACAGAATTGGTTTTTAGCAACTCATGTTTGTCTTAAGAGGCCACTGTGCTTGTCGTAAGAAGCGACTAACAGGATCTGGTGGTCAGGCACGCTGACTTGGTTGACGCATGTCGTCGTATCCCAACAGCGTGGATCGATTCTCACGATGTCAATCATTGGAGACTCGATTACTTCCAGACCGTCGTCTCGATGCTGGGCTATTGCTGAGAGCAGCGTAAAAACATGAAACAAACAAACACTGAATGACCGATCTGTTTGCATAATTGTCCATTGTCGTTTTTCTCTATTTGGGGAACAAATATATGCAGCGTTAAACAAACAATTAATTTGTAGATGACAGGCCACTTCTCATCGATTGCCTTTTAAATCTAGCACAGTTATTGAAATTAACAACTGTAAAGAAATATATACAGGAATACAAGAGAAATAAAAATGTTAGATTAAAAATGTCACTTTAAAGACGTGTAAAAAAATGCGAAAACATTCTGTTTTTATGTATGAATCTATTGGGGAGAATATTTACCATGTCTTATGGGGGAGTTGATGGTAGCGACCTAAAAGTCATACATATCTCTTATTGTAATCAGATATAACATAGCTACAGGACAATAGTTGATGCAGTTAGGTTAAATAAGTTTTAGATAGCACTTTCTCTATTAAGTTTTTGGTCATTTGGAAGGGGATTGAAATTATAAAACTAACATATCGATTTTAGTTTCAACAAAAACGTGTCACAATCGTGTTATTGTTCTGGTCCATCTGTCGATTGTCTCATTTGTTGACAGGCCCCGTCGAAAAACAAGCGTAGCGGGTCTTCGCGATAAGGCAGGACATGCTTACCCTTTTCGCGAAAACCTGGTATCGTCACTGATTTTCAGTGGTCCATTCACATAACTTTCACCTCTGGAACTTTTACCGCGTCACTCTCAGAGAACACAGAAGTCTCAATGGCATGTTCTTCTTCATATTAGGGATGGTGGGGTAGCCTAGTGGTTAAAGTGTTCGCTCGTCACGCCACAGCATATTGCTGGAATATTGCTAAAAGCGGGGTAAAACCATACTCACTCACTCACTTCTTGATATTAATACGTTCTACATATTATAAAAACAGACAGTGATGTGAGGCCGAATGTGTAAAGCCCATCGTCCTTATAAAGTACGTCTCTTGATAGTAAGATCGCTCTACGTTGCTAAAACACAAGTACAAACTCAACGTATTTTCAGGAGACCTATTCAGTGATCAATGGAAATAGATCTTGTATTAACTGGAATCATATCTCAGAAAATGTAGCAGTTAAAATATTGCCTATAAGATGTTGAATAATTACTTATTGTACTCCGTGTACTACATGTACGTACAACCGATGTGTAGAAACCAGAACATTTCAAATAAAAGGGATAAAAAACTGTCCACAATCGTAAGAAATCTCTGCTCAATGCAAAGTCCATTGTACGAACCCGACTGTGTTACATGCACGTGTTTATGAATCGATATCAATATATTTTCTAGGTTTACACGAAAACACCCGTAGGTCGTGAGACAAACTGGTACTGACCAATCTTCGACGAGTAAACAATAACATGCATACCCCCGTGTTTGGGACAACAGAAGTAGCTCAGAGGCTTCGATAAGGCGTACTTGTTTGTTTGTTATTTAACGCCATACTCAGCAATATTCCAGTTATATGATGGCGGTCTGTAAATAATCGGGTCTGGACCAGGCAATCCAGGGATTGACATCATGAACATCGATCTACACAATTTGGATACGATGACATGTTTCAACCAAGCTTGACCATCTGATCCCGTTAGACGTCTCTTACGACAAGCATTTTCCCCTTTATGGCAAGCATGGGTTGCTGAAGACTTATTCTACCCCGAATCTTCACGGGTGGCTCCAGAGAATCACCAGCCAATTACCTGGTGAAACATTCCATCATGCGTAAATGGCAAAATTTTATAAATACAGAATAAATGAAAGAAAACATCATATCAAATCTGAAGGAACCGACGATGACCTTTGAACTATCTGAACATATCAGATAAAACCCGTCCATGTGTCTTCAACTGTCTATTAGGATACATCTATGACGTCATTCTGTTGTATCAAGAATGGACAGTTGGTTATCAATTATTCATTTTTTTGAATCAACATTTCAACATTGAAAGTAATAATGTTTATGTATGGAACAGGATACGCACCGCCCGACAAAAAACTGGCCAAACAAATTTCTACATTTGAGTGAGTTGGGTTTAACGCCGCTGTTAACAGTATTCCAGTTATATCACGGCGTGTCAGCTTAATGTGGGAGGAAAGCCAAAGTGATGCAGGTCTCAGACGTTTACCACTTTGGTGAAACCTACGAGCACGGTATGGTGCTGACAAACCTAGAAACATAATCGGGGCGAATCGGGATTCGAACTCACAATCATAGGTTTCTGGCGTGCCCAAGGGACGCAACTCTGCACAGCGAATCGCGGCGCCTTAGACGACTCGGCCACCCGTGCCCCCTTCTACATTTGAACCTGTGAAGACCAGGGTGAGAATCGATCGCTCTTGTCGTAATAGGCCACTAACGGGATCATGGGGTGAAGTTCGCTGACCTGGAGGATGCATGTCATCGTTTTCCAATTGCATGGATCGATGATCTTGATGTCAATCCCGTCTGGTCCGGGTTCTTAGACCGCGTTCACATAGCTGAAATATTGCTGAGTGCGGCGTTGAACAACAAACAAACAAAACCTCTATATATCACTGTTCATGAGTATGAATTTCCTGTAATCCGCGTCAGAATATTTTCTTAACGACCAATCCATTGATAAAATACTCGTTAAAGATCCAACGAAATCGTTGCAAAGAGCGATGAACCATGCAATGTAAACATTTCATCGCAACGAAACGTGGCCCTAGTACAGCAGCGACAGAGAATACATTTTGTGATCCATTCATTTTTAACAGCTAACATTGAGTTAGTGAGCATTTATAGAACCTGGTGGTTATATTCATTTGCCCATCCAGTAGTTCAGCTGCAAATACTAATATGTAGCTTGGTGTTTGTTTGTTGATGTTTAACGCCGCACTCAGCAATATTCCAGCTATCTGACAGCGGTGTGTAAATATTTGAGTCTGGGCCAGACAATCCAGTGACTGATATTATGCGCATCAATACACGCAATTGGGATACGATGACATGCATCAGCCAAGTGAGCAAACCTGAGCACCCGATGCCGTTAGTCGCCTCTAACGACACGCTTAGTCGCCTTTAAGGGCAAGCATGGGTTGCTAAAGATCTATTCTATCCCGGATCTTCACAGGTCGGCAGACAGACAGACAGATTAAAAAACTCATTGATGGCTGAAACCTTGAAATACTT